TTTGCCTTTGCTGTTTCAAAATTATCACAATATAATTCCAACCCAGGAAGGTCTCAATGGAATCAAGCGAAACACGTTCTGCGATACTTGAGTAAGACCAAAAACCTTGGATTGACATACAGAGCTGGAAACGAGCAACGGATTCAAGTTTATTGCGACGCAGACTAGGCAGGAGATCAAGATGACCGACATTCATACACTGGTGTTGCGGTCATGCTAGGAGGAAATCTCATCCATTGGCAATCAGCGAAACAGACTGGCATATCAACTTCCATGGAAGCGGAATATGTGGCCCTGTCGATCAGAATCAAGGAAATAGTGTGGTTAGATATGTTTTTGTCAGAACTTAAACTTTCTTCTTTATTCACAGGTTGTCAAATGTTCTGTGACAATCGAGCAGCAATAGATTTCTCCAAAAATATAGTGGAAAAAAAAGGACGAAACATATCGACATCTCCTACCATATTGTGAGGGAGAAAGTGGAGGATGGCCAGCTGGATCTGTCGTACGTGCCGTCCAATGAAAATCCTGCGGACATGCTTACCAAGGAATTAAAACGAATCTCACATAATCATTGCCTGAACATTATGGGGTAAGACATCGCAAAGTGAAAGATTGATGGATAGTTGCTTGTCCGATCATTCCATGGCGCCCGGCGGATTACCGACATGCGAGTCGCAGCCGATTAGTTATCGACGTTTTTATGTTTAATATTCTGTTCGCCGCTAGGCGCGTTTTTTGTATTCATGTCCTTCCGGCAGATTTTTCTCCTTTTTTATGTCTCTAACTGTTTTTCTGTAATACGACGTGTCGTCAAGTCTGTTTGACTAATAAACCATCTTTCTATCATTTTATTGGAATTCACTCATTCCCAACACAGCATATTCAACGTTAGAATATATACGCGACATATTGTGACAGGAGTAATTCACTCGATGACTTCTGACGAATTTATAGAAGAAAAACAGAGATGTAAATAAACAAAAAAAGTTTTCACTTGAAAACGGAATTATTATTATTGTTTTCGTGCACGATTTCAGCGACGATAATACTTCAGAGGCAGTGTGAGAACAAAGCAACTACGATTTGTCTTTTTTGTAATTTTCTCCAAAACGAAGCAAAAAACGAGCATATCTCTACATACAGGACTTTTTTTCTTAGTTTATTTTAGTTATTTTCGATCCTCTACACGCTTCCGAAGTTTTGGCATTTAAATTCCAAACACCCTGTATATGGATACATATGCATACATAATAATACGTGTTTAAATATAAAAGTAAAATTTTTAATTTGAATAAAAAATCTAATATGACTTATTCTTATACAAAATTAAGAAATATAAATTAATAAAAATATGTGCTGCGGCAAAAAATATGACAACACAAAGAATCATATAATATATATGCTTTTAACAACTGATTTATATTTTAAAATATTTTCTTTGTTAATACATTTTTGTCGCAAAATATATTTTAATTAATTTTTATTTCGTATTTTGGCGCATTCCAATAATCTCAACCTATTTAACTTCCGATTTCGAAAGAGCATAAAATGAATAGCTTTAGAACTCCATTAGAATACTGTTTAAAAATTATTTCGATTTCATCGCGAATTCATTTAAACTAAAAAAAAGAGTAGATACCTTTTGAATCCGAAAAAGAACTCACAATTGGTGCAGATATAAAAGTGAATTCTTTTGAAACCTTTAGGAACACTTTTAGGATAGAAAAAGAATTCATTTCGTAAGTCGGTAACGAAAAAAGAATTCTTTTTGGATTCTCTGTGCTATTTGGGTATACAGGTATAGTTTTGTAAGATGTTATAGCACGAAAAAAGTTCATTTATTTCAAGAGTGAAAAACAGGAATGTCTTCTCTCTCTCTGTCTCTCTCTCTCTCTCTCTCTCTTGTGGTAATAATATAACAATATAAATCCAACAAACATAATATCTTGATTAATTGCAATTCTCAGAGTTTTTAATGCACTTTGTATTTTAGACTTATGACTAACGTGCATAACACATATTGTTTTCCTGCTTCTTTCTTTTACAATATGCCATCCGATCATTATATAATTATTACCAGCGTACGATCATCTTCTGTGGAAACGTACTTCATGTCATAAATAATTCATATATTAAACTTTAAAGTATGATTAAAGAGATAAGAACAAAAATAAGATTATTTGACTTTTAACGTCCGTAAATATAACTCATTCATAAATCAGTATACTTGCTAATAGCTGATAAGCTATTTATATTAAGTAGATACATATATATCTACTTATATATAAGATATTAAACAAACAAAAAACCTGTAAACTCAGATAGCACAAAAAGAATTCAGTCGTATGTTATCAATTCCGAGTTCATTTTAAGATGTAAAAAGAATTCTTTTCAGAATTGTTCAGAAAAAGAATTCTTTTTGTGTCTGAAAATGAATTCTAAAGTGGCAACCAAAATTTTGCTGTAAAAATCCCTTTTTAAACGCCTAAAATATGCTCTGTGAAATTGAAAAAATGCTCTAAAGAAAGACATATATCCCAAAATTATGCTGTAAAAATCCCTTTTTAAGCGCCTAAAATATGCTGTGAAATTGGAAAAACGCTCTAAAGGAAGGAATATATCCCAAAATTATGCTATAAAAATCCCTTTTTAAGCGTCTAAAATATGTTGTGTAAAATTGAAAAAATGCTCTAAAGAAAGGAATATACTCTCTCTCTCTCTCTCTCTCTCTCTCTCT